CTAGTGCACTACCGGCTTCACCAGAGGAGTCCCTGGACCTAACGCCCGGTCATTATTGCTGTATTTGGGGCAAGTTCAGTCTAGATGCAGTGAAAATAACCAGGCATTCTAGTCGGGTGAAGACGGTGGCCGATAGAACACGGAGTCTCTAGTGGCAGGTCTTTCGGCTTTGGGGGGCTTATCGCCCTCCAGCCTGAGTCCAAACCTTTTTTTTTTTTTTTTGGGAAACCGAACCTGCAAACTTGGCGGCTGAATGAGGGGGCTGGTGGAGGCAGTGTACGGTGGAAACCGTGGAGTAGGAAGGCAGGGTCAATGCAGCCGTACTTGGCCTGAAATTTGGTCTAGGTACTAACCAGCTGTGATGGCTGCCCTTCCTCTAATGGCCAGACAATTTGGTAATCTGTTGATGATGTTTACTTTCCGCCGGTGTTGTCGCCGTCATTTGAACGTGTTGATATCATTTTATGAGGACGCGGGGGGGGGGGGGGGGGGGGGGGGGGGGGGGGGGGGGGGGGGGGGCGCCGGCACTGGGGAAGGATGGGGGAGTGATGCACACACGGCTGTCAGCAACTGAATGTGATTGGTAATGCGATCAGATTTGGTCAGTGAAGTCTTAATGCGAGTACACCCTGATTAAGCTCACGGACCCGTTAGAACAACAACCCATGTCTTGAGAGCATCCTCATTTTTGTGCAGAATGGCCGAATTGTGATTGTCTGTTGATGTCATACACTATTCGCCGGGCCGCGAATCCTCTCAGAGCCTCGCCCCACCACTGTTGAAAGGAAAAAGGAACCAATGCATTTTCCGCAGAAAGTGTTAAGATGTATCCATTCATTGCTTTTCTTAGTAACGGATGCATCTTGCCATTCTCTGCAGGAAGATGCATTCGTACTTTGGCCCTTAGGTAGGTTTCATGTGCAGGATGATTGGATTGCGATTGTGACAGTTATTCTTCAAGTTTTTCTGACAGCTTTTCAAATCTGTGTGTTTGCCTTCTTTTGATCGTTTTCCTATACATATAAATATATATGTAGATATATATTGACGATATATAAACAGTTTGTCACAGCCCCTCGTTTGTTGTCCTCTTCTCCCTCTCTGCCTACGGTTTACCGGGCAGTTCTATTTGTGACGATATATATAGGTCGTATTTTTAATGTATTAGGAGAACCAGTAGATAATCTAGGTCCTGTAGATACAAACAGAACTGCCCGGTAAACTGTAGGCAGAGAGAGAGAAGAGGACAACAAACGAGGGGCTGTGACAAACTGTTTCGTCGGAGTTTCACCGACTCATCAGGAGGCTGAACCCTCAACAGTCT